GTGTACGGACAACTTGCGCTTTGAACCCGCAACTATATCTAATGCGGTTCGATTTGTCATCCTCCAACAGTTACCCTGGGTTGCAGATCTCGATGTGAGAGGAGTCTATGTAGCTGCTCCTTCCTGACGCCAACTCGTGAACTCAGTTTCGCGAGCCAGATCGTGCTTCCATTGCATGATGCGCTTGAAAGAAGACAAGCGCAGACAAAATCAAGTCACATAGCCTTGAAACAAATGTATAGTTGAAGAGTACAGATGGCGACATGCTGATACTAGAAGTTCATTCACACATGCGCAGTATGCCTGAAGAGAAAATAGCGCTTAGTCAATCATGAAGTCATTTATCGTGTCTGCACAAATTGCACAGTCACGCTTGACCATTCGCATCCTTGCTTCAATTTTTTGTTAGCAACAGCACAGAAGGCCGAGCTGCGCGTGATTAAATAGTCGGCTATCAGCCGACTATTTAACTTTTGCAAATTATGGCTGTTTCCATCGTGGAGGAATTTAATCTGCTCGCTGACGAGCTAAACAAAGTACAGAAAACGTAAGATATTCTTTTGATTACCTATTCATAAAAGATTGCAGCAGTCCATCACTTTATCGCATGAACTTAAACGCTTAAGCGTTGCAAAACGCATGCTCACATTGTGCTACTACGCCTGTCACTTACCACCAATATCTCAAACTTCGTTACATTCAATCAAGATAGTAGTTGCATTGATTGGGATCCTACACAATTGGTAGCTCTACATCAATGCACTCACTATCATTTGACAATGGAAGATGGGTATACTATACAAAACGTGCTCCAGCATAAATATTTCCGGAAATGAACGTTAATTTGCAAGTTTAATGTAAGCGTAAATGTAGTGATTGCAAACGTTATTTTGAATAAAAATGTCAGTCAAAGCAAGGAATGCGTTCAATGGTTAGAGTCGATACCACTTATAGTCCTTCAGCTATTGTTTTTCTCATCCTGGCAGCACGTGAGAATTTTTGGCCATCTTGCGGCTGTAATTACTAGGTCGCGAACATACTAACTCACCTGCATGGAGCTATAATAACACAACCTTTCTCCTTTGAGCTCGGCATTGACATATCTTCCCGTCGCTTATAGATCTTGATCATCGCTCCGGATGTTGGATTTTTGTATTCATTCTTCAGACTGTCGAGGGCAAGACGTTGACAAAACGTGCAGTGAAAGAACGCTAGCACACAAAAAATGCAATATCAGACTATACACACTTTTATGCTCCCAAAAGTTAAAGCCTCAGTTTTACTCAGATTAATTAAAAAGATCGGTAATACCATTTGACAACATAATCTACTTTTCGCTGATCTATCCATCTAATTAGTTTAAAAAAAGTACTTAAATGTTTCAGTTGCATAAGATCAAAATGGTATTCGGGCTTGTACGCAAGCATTAGAAACAACTTCAGACCTCGGTCGAGCTGTACTTCTGGTTATGGTTATAGCAAAGTCTAGTCAACGCAATATTAAGCTTGCAACATCTTTTGTGCTCTGTTCACTCGTATGATAAATTACGATCTTTGTGTTTATTCGTATATAAATCTCATGTGAACATGACTAGAGATGTCTCATTCTGCGCCTCAATTCTCGAAAGTTTTTTGGATCGGACAATACCTCGGTCTTTGCTGATGTGAGAAATTTTATTATGATCCTATATCTTACCCGTTCTAATGTTGCCATATCTAAACCAAAAGACCACATCGTATTTCAATACGATGTGGTCTGTAAGCCATGAAAAAGGACGAGGAGACGTAGGTACTGGCTAGTACCTCGCGGTAATCAAATCTTGTCCTTTGAACTTTTTTATCATTGGAAATGGAGCCACCTTAACCACTACTTTGATGTGAGATCGTTCTACGGTATGTGCAAATCTGAAACTTATGCATGCGAGATAGACATGCACTGCAATTGTTCCTCAACATTTTCAAGCGGCGTCATCTCAACAGTGACCCATTCCAAATTAGATAAACCAGAAGTCGTGTACGTCATTCGCTCTAGGTCACAATGTATTACTTACACATGCGTACAAAAGTGTGCGACGCTGCTATAGAAGCTGTAAGAGCATAAGGCTTGTGACGTAAGGTCTCCATAATAAATCTTGCTGTTTTACCATTGTGCCGACGCATCGCTGATATACTACTTGTTGTACTTGTATAACAAAGATAACGTCGCTTACGAGGGCAGGAGAGGCTCTGAAAGGACTGCAGAATCCATTGTCCATGTACTTCACATGAAGATAGCTCTGATCTTTGAATGTCTTCTGAAGTGTGAACGAAAAATATTTGCGGACTGCATGATACAGAACAATTGTATCGATCGCTAACATTGACGGCAACAATTTCGGCGTGTTCAAATGCAGCTCCGCTCGTTATTAGTCTGGTAGAGGATGACACTTTGCTAATACGATTTCTCAAGACCGATCATGAACATTCATGAGATCAAGTCGCACAAAACAAAGTCTAGTCATGGAATTATCTCAAGTGCAGCGCATTGTATGGTACTAATTCGTTGGTAAACAGTAGAAAAAAATACTTACGGTCTCATGTTCTCAAACTGACGATGCCGTATATGCCAAAATTTTCTGCCTGTACACCATAAAAGGAACAAGCGGGCACATATTCTGGCTGGGAACTCCACAGTGAGCCACTAAACCCGTCAAATTAAGCTGTGTTCTTTGCGGCTACAATCTGGAGGTACTCGACGGCGTGCCTTGAGTTTGGCAAGCTCAGAGCGGAGGTGTCGCTCCACACGCACGACAACTTCGTTGTGGCTCAACTGCAGATTATGCAGTGAGGAAAGTTTTCG